AAATGGACAGGGGTTGTAAGTAGTTATTGGACAATATCGTAATTCAGACAATTAACATATAAACGTTATAAATAATAAATGATCTAAAATAATTCATAAATCCTGTCTCTTTCCTTTTAACGTTTATAAATAAGCAATCGTGATAAAAAACGGGGTAATCAAATTCGTACAGTCTTATTCATCACTGTGATTCATTGTATCTTTGGTGTATGTATCACGATTATGTATTTGGAATATAAAATATAGTATCTTCTTTCATTGACCTTGATGAGGAACGACCATGGTAATTACATTGACTGATATCACTACCACGAATAAGTTGAGCACGATGACCGGTTAAGATCGGAAATCAGATCTCTCCTTACTTGCTTTATGATTATTATACGAAGTTTGATCGATGATTTAAGCTTGAAATTTATGATCGCTTATTTATTTCACTATGTTATCCAGGATAACTGTATAATCCAATTAATTATAACGATGTTCTGATTTCTCGGTCATGAATATTTATGAATATTATTATTAATGCAGCTTAAATTGATAATCCGATTAGATGGCATACTTAAAATTCTGACTTCTTTTTCTTTTCTTTCTTCGTTACGATCGATAAAGAATATTTCTTTTACATAATATAAAGTTTCGTGAAACATCGTACGTATGTTGACAAAAATGTGATTCCGAGTTATTTTTTATTTCTTTTTCTTTTCTTTTCCTTTCCTTTTCCTTTTATTTTTTTAAACTTAAGAAGAACGAAATTTATTTGCTCGTCACGATAGGCTTTCAAGTATAAGTAAATCTCTTACCGACCTATTGTACGATGTTAATGCAAGGCCGTATGCGCGAATAAGAATTCTGGCATAATGCAAGACGCATCTTTTCTTTCATTCTATCAATGTTAAGATTCCTTCTATGGAAATTAACATTTACCTCAATGCTAACAGTTTAATAATAAACATTAAATATTCATTTAAAAGGGAAGAAAGAGAATAATAGAAAGATAAAGAGGAAAAAAACGAAAATAGCATGCAAAAATTTCAAGTAATCGTTATGAATGATGCATTGATAAAAAAGATTAACAAAAAATGATACATTAAAAAAAAGCATAGACATTATACGATCACCAATAAAAGAAGAATGTAATCAATAGAACCTGTCAATACGATAACATTATGTACTTAGCCTAAATAGTATTTGATTGTTAGACACAGGTAAAAAGGTATTACGTGTGATTAGATATCAAAATGGAATTCTTAGATTTCAAATTATATTTTATATAAAAAAAATATATTCTTTCAAAAATATCAAATTTATGTAAAATTACATACAGGAGTCTGACTTTGAAAAGTCACTCTCCGGTAAACGTCGGTCTGCTCAGCTTCGTTGATCCTGCCGATCAACCCTTAGAATGTTAAGACTGAATCTACGTTCGAATCTACCCGACGGTAGTTGGCACGCGTCGGTTCGACAGCACTTATCAAAAGAATCACTGAAAGTGATCGGTCTCTTCCTCTTCTTCTTCTTCGATGTCCGTTGTTAAAGTTGTTTGCGATGAATTTTAAAAGGTATACACAATACAGAGACCTCGATGGAGAGGACTAATCTGGACGTACGAATCTGGTATTCCGAACGCGAGAGAACGACCATATATACCTACGGCATCGATAGCCCCTCAACCCGCACCCTTCTCTCATGTTCTCTTTCTCTTGCTCTCTCCATGTTCTCTCTTTCTTGTTCTCCCTTGCTCTCTTTCTTTCTCTTTCTTTCTGTCCATTGCTTCTTTGCTGTGTCCTTGACCACGGGAACGTGATCGTGTAGAGTCAGAGACCATTGGTGCGAGGCAACGACACCAAGCTACTTCCTCGCAAGCCCAAAGGGGTGCGAGAACTCCATTTGGAATTTGCTTGTTTGACTTGGAGGTGCTGCCTCGCTTCGAAGAAATGACTACCATGGGACTTTCTCTTATGGAATATTAGATCCATTCAACAAATATGTTGTTTAGAGGGTGTGTCGGGAAAACATCTAAAACTGATGAGAGTAGGACGAGGATATCATGATGAAGTTGATCAATGACAGGATAAACAATGAAAAAGACTATAACTCTTGTAATTTAATATCTTGGGGTTGAAAGTAAGGAATTAGTTGTTGACGAATCATTCTTCCTTATCTGATTTTTAAATTTTTGAAAGGATTTTTAGGAGAACTGGATTGTGTTTCGTGGTGTGGAATAAATTCTCCTCTTGATATTTCAGTTTTTATTTTCTTCTTTTATATGGTTACCTGAAAATTTATTAAATTGATTACATTAGAAACACGAATATGTTAAATAAAATTTAATTAAATATTAAAAGTTATAGGTAAATTGGGATGAGGATTAAAGTGACCACTGACTTTCTCCCTTTTTTTTTCATCAACAAATCGTTGTTCGATTTTCATTCGCATGCAAATGTGTAGAGAGTTTTTTCTCTTTTCATTTTTTTCGGCCTAATACAAACTAAGAAAGGTAATAGATTTCATTCGGTCCAGGTAATAACGAGTTTCTCTTTGTAAAAAAAATAAAATGTTTGAAAGAATGTCAACGAATCCCCTTGAACTTGCAGCACGCAGCCAAACAAACCAGAGTCAATTTTCACCGAAACCAGAAAACTGCATAAGATTATTAATAGCGTGAGAATGCACGAGGGGCTGTTGAAATGGTCCTGTTATCTTCTCGTTTTATATACCGTTGAAAACACTGTCAGATTTACCTCAGACGAATTCGTATTAGATTCCTTGCGAATTATTCTTATTATGTTTTTCTTTTTTTTTTAAGTCAAATAAAAAACTTAATTATTCAAATCTATTGAAAGTCAAACAAGTATGACAATACTTAAACAATAAAACAAATATATTTACAACAATAAATTATAAATAAATTTGTAATAACAATGAGTGCGCACATATTTGTTATATAATATAATTCGTAATTAACATTTTCTGGGGAAAAAAATGTTAAAATAAATTTATTATTCATGGTCGGTGAGAGAGAGAGAGAGAGAGTCTACTTCATTCCTATTTAAAAGAATTACAAAACTATATGTGTGTAACGATGTGTGGATCACGAATTAATATGCATCGAGATCAGTGACCTCCGTTACTAAAATCCACTTTGCTTTTTGTGGTGTCGCATCTTATTATGAAACATTAGTAATACGGTCCATTAACTTATTTTAGTATACTATGTGTCCAAAGATAATCTTTCAATTTTTTTAAACACGAGAACAAGAGAATGCTATTAATACAAGGACGAATACTAATACATAATTTAAATCATTTTATTGTATAATGGCTTAGAGATTTCGGCAATAGATTTGACATATAAAAAATCTTTCTGTTTTTCTATTCTCTTGTAAACTAAGCACTTCGATTTTTTTTAAAAGGTATTTCTTCACTTTTGTCTAATGATATGTAGATGAAAAGATAAAAAAATGAAAGGGAACAAAGAAGGAAAAAAAAAGAAAAAATGAGCTAGAAGATCGATATGTTACAATATGTTACGGGATGTTTGAAAAATCGATTCATTAGAAAATTCTCTGTAATGAATGGTATCCGTAATTCTTGGAGAAATAGTTTTCACCATATTCGTTCGTTCTTACGAAATGACAAAAAAAATAGAAAAAAAAATATTTCCAAAATTTCAGAACGAAATCTAACAAAAGAGTATTGATGAAATACATTCGCGACATTTCGACGTGGCAAAGATCTAATCCTTCCTGTGATCATATCATATCTTCCACTTCCATTTTGGAAGGTTTTAAGAACGGTTCAAGGACAGTATATCGAACTAAGCAACTTTTCTGGTTGGTGGGTTAGTGACCCGGGCCCGCAATTCTCGTTTCGGGTTTTCTATATCACATGCGGGTTCTCTAATGGCGAATGAATTCTTCTAATATTTTTTGTGTTTTATTTTTCTATTTTATTTCTCATTCTTTGTTTTCATTTTATGTTTTGTTTTTTTGATATGTTCCAGAATATATCTTCTTTAGAAAAGAAGAACGTTGACATCGAACACAAAGGGTCTCTATCTTCTGCTTACTCATCAATCATACATCTCCTGTCTATATGTTTCTCCATGAAACATACGTGTATTACTAATGAAAACTAATGAGTAATTGAAAAGGAAATACCATCATTAAAACATTTTAATATACTCGTAAAAATATAGATTTAGGTCATTAATCGTTATCGTTAATTAATTAATAAAATTAAATCTTATAAATGTATGGTAGTTAGCTACAAACTATTAATAGAATTGGAATATTGATAAAAATCTAAACATTAACAGATTTTTGTTATTTTTTTTTATCTTCTTCTACATGTTTCACTTTTCTATCAACTAAGAAATTGTACATCTCTGTATTAGATTATTAAATAAATTAATTTGATTAATACTTCATCGGAAAAGTAAATCTATTTTTATGCGATTATTTAATTTTCTCGTATACGAAAAAAAGAAATTAGAAACTCTATAAAGCGTTTACATAAAAAAATGTATTCGTCTTTCAGAAACAGGAAACTTGTCTGCAACAGAAAGCAAACGGCTGTCACAAACAGAGAAAATTCAATGTTCCTTGAACTAATCAGTTTGGTATAAAAGAAGCGTCTTTTCCTAGGACCGATAACATTGCCTTCTTATTCCTTCGACAATATACTTGAAGTTAGTGATAGAAATTCGAAATTTCTACAAACGTAATAAGGGGTAAGGATCAATTTTAATATTCTTATTCATTTTTTTCTAACTTATAAATTAATATATATTAATGTAACATTAAAAATATATATAATAACATTTTAAGTCGCATTTAACTAACATAAGCAAATTTGATGCGTTTGAAATTACCTGGATTTCTAATTAAATTTGTTGTAATTCGCATAAATATAGTGTTTAAACAAATAAGTACATATTTGAAATAAAGAATCTTGGTTTTTTTGTGTATCGGATGTATAAATTCTCGCTTCTTTCAGTAGAAGGATCTAAATCAAAATCAGAATGAAGTTCTTATATATCTTCACACTAGTGCTTGGAATCATCTCCCAGGTGTTTGCCACCATAGATGATGGAGAGAGAAACATTTATTCGATGAATCTTCCTTATGGAAGAGGATTGGTAACATTTTCTTTCTATATTTAAATTAATTAATTACTTCATATATTGTCTAATCATTGTTTATGATAGCGTGGTATCAATTTTATATAGACTGAATTGAAATTATTAAGGAACAGTTTCTCAATATAATCTATGAATGAATAGAAATGAACTATAAAATGTATACGTTTTCGATTACTTAACATTTCAAATTTATTTTCTTTTAGGACAATGAATTACAACTTGCTAGACTGTTAATGGCGTCGCCTCGTCTTTGCTATCCAAAACGTAATTCCGAGATTATCAATACTTTACTTGGTCTTCCGAAAAATATGAACAATGCTGGAAAATGAAATATTTATGACATAGATAATTACTTACAAAAATATGTACTAGCTATTGATAAGTTATTGCGATTATAAAGAGTGCTTTATTATTGTTTAACACACAATGAAAATCGAAAATGTAAAAACAGCAAATTTTTGTCTATTTTATTTCTATTATGTAATTAAGTTATATGCATATAGATTAGAAAAAGTAAATAAATAAATAACGAAAAAATAATTTTAGATTTTGTTAAATTTAATATTGTTTGTTTTTGCATGTCTATTAACTTTATTATATTTCCTTTTCTTCCTTCGAAAAATATACTATTGAAAGAATGTCTTCTAATTAGGATGAAGATAATTCAAACAAAGCAATTCTTTATCATAAATATACTATAGCTATTTCTGTGATCATAAACAAACCTATACTAGGATCTTCTCTCTCTCTCTCTCTCTCTCTTAATCTAGCCCTTATCGGATGTCAGTCACGTTTTCCCATGGAAATCGTGACCGATAGATAAAGGTTAGTAAAAATATGAGAAACTTCATGTTATACTTTACATATTTTACTCGCTTTTGATAATTATATATTACATATAAAAGTCATCTTATAATAAACATAAGCCTTAAATGCATATAAACAGCTGTGTTGTTGGGTATTTATATGAAAATAATAATTTTCAATTATTAGCTACGAATATATGTAAACTCAATATTGTCCATTTCGTGAAAGACTGCACAATAAATGGTTAATAATACGAGTTAGTTTAAATAACTTTATATATCATTCAATTATACAATAGTTAATCATTTATAAAATTCACAAAAATCCAGTGTCTTTTTTTATAAATTATACTTTGATATCACACAGGTGAATTTATTTATATATATATATAAATATATATGTATTTATTTTTTCGTATTAACAAAGAATTTGTTACAATTGTTAAAATTTCAAATGAAAACCACCTCCAACAGGGGGGTGTCTTCCACCATCCATCAATCCCATATGAAAACCTGAATTACTTAGATCAGCATCGTCGCCGTCTCCCAACTGTTTGTATTCTTTTCCACCACTAGGTGGTTTGGGAGATGCATTGGCCGTTCTTTGTCCTAATTCGGATTTAGCAGGCCAGGTAGGAAACATTTCTGGAGCGATTGGTAAAGGTGCTTCCGTAAAGTATGAATGTTTCAAGGCATCATCGGCAGTTATCCTTTGTTGTGGATCATATGTCAAGAATCTGCAAAATATTATTCAATAATTAAGATTAATGATTACAAGCATGTATGGATGCTATTTAATTTTATTTAGAAAGAAAAGTATATTGTTAATTACTTGTTCAATAATTCAACGCCTAAATCCGAAAGAGATAAACTAAATCTTTGTCTTAAATTATTAACAGGATAGTGAGCGAATGGAATTTTTTGAACCATTGGTAATTTACTATATCCTGGCCAAATACGATCACTCGGTGTACCCAATTCTTTAAATATTCTATTCAATTGATCAATTTCTGATTTTCCTGGAAAGAGTGCTTCCATTCTTAATAATTCTGCAAAAATACATCTGAAAAAAATATTTTAATATAATTAAACTTTTCACGCTTTATTGATAATGTTTATTTATTAACATTTAATTATATAAAGATTAATGTGCTACGTACCCTACAGACCACATATCAATAGGTGTGCTATACTCGTTGCCACCTAACAATAATTCTGGTGCTCTATACCAAAGTGTAACTACAACTGGTGTATATTGTCGCAACGGAGATCCATATTCACGAGCTAAACCAAAATCGCCAACTTTTAAAACACCTCGATGACTTAGTAATAAATTTGATGTTTTTAAATCACGATGAAGAATCCAATTATCGTGCAAGTGAGCTACAGCACGTAATAATTGTTGCATAAGACACTTTACCTCACCTGAAACAACACAAATTTTATTTGTCATACTCTTATCTATATAAAAATATATTTTTACAAAATAAATCAAATCTTACCAGGAATGAAAGCTTGTTTCTTTTGCTTTATCGTCTCTATCAATGATTTTAAATCATGCTCCACATAATCCATAACTATAAATATTTTATCCATGTTACTACCAACAACTATTTCTCGTACAGTTACAATATTAGGATGTTGTGCTTTCAATAAAGTATTAATTTCCCTTAAACTAGTAATAGGAAATCCTTCCTTTTCTTTCTCCATTTTTAATCTTTTCAATGCAACGATTTCCTCCGTTCGTTTGTCGCGAGCTCTGTATACAACACCATAAGTACCTTCCTCTATACGATTTAAGCATTGAAATTCCTCAACGCTTCTACAACCTAAAAATATTTTTTTTTTATATGACATGTAACATGAAATTATTACTTTGTTTTTTAAAAATAAAATAATAAATATGTACGAAACCTTGAATCGCTGGTAAATATGGAGGTAATTCAGGTTCCTCGTTTTTCTTTTCCTCTTCTTCCTCTTGTTCTTCTGTATTTTTGATAGTACCATTCGGATCAACATGACCAGGTGAATCTCCATCTGAATGATCAGATTTTGCTAACCGTTCTACAGACAACGGACTTGGATTATTATAATCAGATCCATCGTTAGAATCACCATTAGAACCTTTATTTGATTCGTTTGAATCGTCTTCCTCTTCACTACTAGAATCTGAAGAATCAGAAGAATGTCTGTCTGATGATCTCTCATGTATACTTCTTTGCCCATCTGAAGAATGTCTTGATCTGGAAAAAACATAAAATAAAATAAATAAATCAAACAGTCAAATTATTTGTGTAATTCTTGATATAATATGTTTCACATTTATAATATGAACTTACTCGACTGATTTAGAACGACCTTCATCGGATTGTGTTGGACTAGGGCTTTCGTCTGATAATTCAACGATAGATGGGTCTTGATCAGTTTCAGGACTTAACGGTCGTTTTTCACCTCGTTTCAATCGTCTAGCTTCTAATTCTAGACGGGATACTTCCTTTCTTCTAGCCATTTCTCTGTCAGCTTCTAATAATCTGAAACATTATAAGTAACTTATTAATATCGTAAGAAAAAAATAGGAAAAAGAAATTATAATACAAGTTTTTTTAATCACCTTTCTTTTCTAAGCTCTTGCTCGGTCATTTCTTTTGGTTCTTTCGGATGAATTTGAATTTCATTGATCTCCATTTCGTCTACTTCTTCCGTACTAACAATTTCCATAGCTTCTCGTAACTGTTTCTCTCTATGTTCTTTCTCTCGTTCAACTTTTTCTCTTTCTCTGTCACGGAATCTATCATGTTTATGAGATCTCTTGTGTCGCTTCTCACTCCTTTCAGTTCTTTCCATCAAATCGGTTTCAGAATATTGCTCTTCTAAAACACGAATTTGTCTACGTTCTTCCATTCGAATATCACGACGACTACTACCACTTCCATCATCGATAGTTCGCATATCACGACGTTCACGTATTTCTTCTATTCGTACCTCTCTGCGATCTCTAGAATCACGAATTTCACGAGGATCATCCAAACGTATTTCACGTCGTGATTCAATCTTATATTCACGTAATTCTCGAGGATCTTCTCTTCTTTCTCTTCTCTTATCCAATAATCTTTTAATTAAACAAAATAAGATGAAATATTTATTATGTAAAAACAATGAGATATATGAGACATAAAATGTATAAATTAAAAACAAAAAGATATTTACCTTTCTCTTAAATCTTCTAATACTCTGTCACCCGTAGAACGTTCCTTTCGTTCATGCCTCGATTCCCTATCCCTAGAATGACTCTCCATCCTCTCTAATCGTTCCATTCTTTCTCTTTCTCTTTTAGAACCTTCTGGTCTTTCTGATCTCTCCAATGGGTCCATACCATGTCTACGGTGTCTATGTTTGTCTCTATGCCTGTCTTCGCCACGGTCATGGTGACGTGATTTGCGTTCCTTATCCTCACGACGATCTCTTCTTTCATTGTGTTTCTCTCTTCTATGAGAAGATCCTGATTTTCTATGTCGGATTACAGCCTGGGGTGGTTTTATATCCAAGGAATCAGCTGTATCACCGCCATCTTCTTCTGAAAAACTGAAAACATTTATTTTATTTTAATACGTTAATGCATATTAATTATTTGTTAAATGTTTAAACTTTAATATAATTAATAAAAAATTAATTGTAATGAATATGTTATATGAATATTGACAATGAGATAGAAATAATATAAATATTATAAACAAAAAAAAAGTAGAATATTTTAAGTAGCAATTAAGTTAGCTATATTAACTATATTTTATGTAAATTTGATATCTCGAAATGTAGTACCTATAAAATCTCGGTAGCATGAGCATTCCTCGGCATTATGTATGTAAGTACTTACATACATACATACATAATGTAATACGTTTTCACTTAACACACTTTTCGGTCATTCTTATCAAGGAACGTACGTAACTTATTAAAAACATTAATATCTTAGAAATATACAAGAAATTCGCCTAAATTTTATCACTAATGATAAAACATAATTAAATTCTTCTTTTTCATAGAAATATAATGCACTTTTATTAATTGCATGTATTACGCGCGTCTTTACCGATTGATTACTCAAACTAAACTGCAGTAACGCCATCGGATAAACTTTGAACTTACAGTATCAACTAGTAATAAGATATCAAAAATACGAAAAAATTTGTAGTATATATATTTTGTTGTTGTTATTAATTAAGAAAATAATATATATACGTGATTTCGTTCGATATCTTATTTATCGTTACATGAATAATCATAATATAATCTAATATGGTACGATCATATTTTTCATATAAATAATACCATTCGAAATAAAATTAATAATTTAAGTTGCTATTTTTTCAAATAAAATTACTCAAATGCATCCAAAAATACAAAATATATAATAAATTTTCTAAAAAACAATGCAGACTGTTCGCAACACTTTTGTACCAAAGTAATAATTAATATGTAGTTAATATTAACGAATCCCATTAATTTTAATTAATTAAACATTAACATTTTTGTGTATACTAAAAAAAGCCAAAAATCATGAAATGTTCTTGTTTATGTATATATAAATATACATATATATATATATTTTTTGTAAAAGCATGCTTAACAAAGTAAAACGTAATACTCATGTGATGTATCTAATGTAAGCGTGCAAGACTATAAGGCAAGCAACATAACCTCACTCTCTTGTTTAAGATTTTTATTACCTGAAGTCATCCATATCTTTCGATGGACTTTTTTTAATTTCTCCGTCTTCGCTTTGATTATCAATATCCATATCCACTCCGTCTTCTGACATTTTTATTTCTTAATCTAAAACCTTTGACCTCACAACCAACTAGAACTACGAATGCCACTTTCTAACTGCACAATGTAAATGCCGTTAAATTCACGGCATCACTATGGTCCTCTACCGTGCAGTTGGTAAATTTCTCTTCCAAGTGGAAGCATTGAAATTTAACTAATTGGATTTACTTCTTTTTCAACACGTGGTTGAGGAACAAGGTTAAGCAAGATTACGTTAAATTATATTCGATTTATTTTTATACTTTAGAAAATCATAGATTTTTAAACTAATTTGTAAATTAATATTGTAAAATGGAGTATGTTGAGAACTTTGATATATCAGCACAAAATAAAGCAATGATGTGAGTAATTTTAATTTTTTACTTTAGAATGTAAAGACAATTTAATAATAAATTCGTTTTATAGTTTATGTTGTGAATGTGGTACTCAAATTGAACCAAACCCTGCTAACATGTGTGTAGCATGTTTGCGTTTAAAAGTTGATATTACTGAAGGTATACCTAAACAGGTAACTCTTCAATTTTGCAAAGGATGTGAAAGGTATGTATATTCAATTTTTAATGACATATTTTATAAGTTTATTTAGCATTTGTAAGCTTACATATATATCTTGGTGTAGATATTTACAACCACCCATGGAATGGATACATGCTGCATTAGAATCCAGAGAATTGCTACAATTATGTTTAAAAAAATTGAAAGGATTGCATCGTGTAAAGTTGATAGATGCTGGTTTTGTTTGGACCGAACCACATTCCAAGAGATTAAAAGTAATTTCTCTAGTTAATTTTTTTATATAAATTAAAAGTTTTATATTCATTTTTTTTTAAATGTATGAACTTTTCAGGTTAAATTAACGGTACATGCAGAAGTAATTGGAGGAACTGTTTTGCAACAAGTATTTGTTGTCGATTATATTGTTAATCATCAAATGTGTGATGATTGTCATCGTACAGAAGCAAAAGATTATTGGCGTGCATCTGTAAGTACTATGAGATATATTGTTGAAAAAATTCAGTATTATATAATAACTATATAATAAAATCAATAGTTTATTATTTATAAATTAATACAAATTAATTAAAACAAATGTATTCTATTAAGGTACAAATAAGACAGAAGGCTCTAAATAAAAGGACATTTTATTACTTAGAGCAATTAATATTGAAGCATAGAGCTCATGAACAAACTTTGGGTATTAAACCTATTCATGGTAATTGCAAAAAATCATCTTTTCTATTTGATAGATGATAATAAATTATTTTCTAAATTATAAACTATATAAATATCAATAGATTAAATATTAATGTAAATTTCTATAATTATTTCAGAGGGTCTAGATTTTTTTTATTCTAATGAAGCAGCTGCCAGGAAAATGGTTGATTTTCTAGTATCAGTTATACCTTGTCGTTATCAACATTCTAAAAAACTGATTTCACATGATATACATAGTAATATTTATAATTATAAATTTACATACAGGTATATTTACATTGTTATTATTTTCTTATGTAATAAACAAGTATATATGATATTTATCATTAATAATCATTTTTCAGCGTGGAAATTGTTCCCATTTCCAAAGATAGCGTAGTATGTTTACCAAAAAGATTAACACATCAACTAGGAGGATTGAGTTCAATTTGTCTTGTTTATAGAATGACAAATTCCATACATCTTATAGATGTTTCATCAGGACAAAGTATGTTTTAGAAAAATTACTTTTTTGTTCACTAGATATGTGCATTTGTAATATTGGGTTGGCAACTAAGTGATTGTGGATTTTGTCGATAGATTATTATTAAAATAATCGCAATCACTTAGTTGCCAACCCAATATAAATCCTAATGTAAATAATTTAATAACATAAATATTTGAGTCTTCAGTTGCAGAAGTAAGTTCTACAGTATTTTGGAGATATCCTTTTAATTGTATTTGCAACCCAAATCAATTGATCGAGTACATAGTAATGGATATAGATGTTGTAAAAGATAAAGATAAGAAAGTTTTCCCTGGTCAAGGAAGTATTTCAACCAAGGTATATACAAATTTATTTCATAAATATTACTTTTACATAATAAATCAATTTCATTATTCACTAAACGCATTAAAAAATTATTTATATATTTTTTATATCAGCATGTTATAGCCGATGTCTGGTTAGTCAAAGCTGCAGAACTAGGAATAGTCGAGAATCCAGTTCATGCTCGCACTCACTTAGGTCATATACTTAAGCCAGGGGATTCAGTACTGGGGTAAATTTTTCTTCCATAATTACAGATAATTTACTGCTCCACATGGACAGAATATCAATTTATATTTTTATTCCAGATATGCCCTTAGCAATAGCAATATTAACGATGATAATTTTGAAAAATTGAATGGAGATACAGTTCCCGATGTTATCCTAGTAAAGAAATATTATGGCATTGATAAAGCTGCACGTCGTAGAGCCAGAATGTGGAAATTAAAACACATTGCTGATGACATTGTTAGCATGAATACAGATAATAAGTATGTGTTATTTTTATAATAAATATAAAATATACTCGTATATTTATAAGGATGTATTTAAATATAATTTTTCATTGTTTCAGTGAATACATGGATTTCTTGGATGAATTGGAGGAAGATCCAGAAATGCGACAAAATATTAATATCTTCAAAGATTCGAAGAAACGAATACCCATTGATACTGATGAAATCGATCCTAGTATTCCACAAATAACACTTGAAGAAATGCTTGATGATCTTGTGATTGATGATGGTAATGAATGATGATATATCAGAATACCAGATAAATAAATAAAGGGAAAGATGTATTGTTTTATGTTTATTTAAAATAAAGTAATGTTAATCTTAAATTTGATGAAAACATTTTTGTATGTAAATTCAAGTAATTGTATAAACTGTTTTGACATGTTTAACATTTCAAGTAGGATAAGCTTTTTTAGATATAAGTAGGAAGATTAAACTATATAAGAAGTAGTCTAATTTATATATAGAAAAATTGCTTTCGTCACATATCAGTGTTTGCCACGTATACAATTATCGAAAAGTAGGAGTGATAAGTCAATATGGGATTAATTGTATAAGATTAACCATCCTTTCTAATCATACGAATGATACTGTAATATTCTTACAAATTTAACTGTTCAAAGTAGATCAATATGCGATTTAATGCTGTATTATTTCTATTTTTTATATTCTCATTTGTAAATGGGTCCAATAAGGATATACAAGGTAATATAAATCCGGATTGATATATTTTTTGTATATACTTTTTAACAAAACATTAGATTCTCTCAACATGTATTCAACAATTCAATATTTTCTATATAGAATTATTTAGTATAATAGTAATTTCCACTTTATTTATATAAGTTATGAATAAATAAAATTTCTTACTTTATTAATATCTTATTAAAAATAGCAGATATTGATGTTACATCAATGGTAGAGGAAATTACTAAATGGGTAGACTCGGGGAAAGAAACAGAATCATTTAACAAATCAATTCAACTTTTAAGTATACCAGATGAATTACAATTCGTCAATTGGAGAACTTTTACTGGTTTACATAGTATGGGTATTTGTACTATATGCAAATCAATTCTCCAAACTTTTATAAAATTTCGACAACAAGGAATGTCTGACGATGATATTGCGAAGAATGTCATTAAATTATGTATATTATTGAATTTTCAAAGCGAGAGAGTTTGTAGTGGTGCTGTTAAATTGAATTTGGTATGTGTGTGTGTTTTGTTTATTTTATAAGATAAATAAAAATACTTATAATTACATTTATTGATCTATTTTTTTATTGTAGCCAATAATTGTTCATATATTAGATTTAAAACAAAATATAAATGCATCCGATATTTGCGGAATTGTTTTGGAATCTAAGTCTTGCCCTCTTAATGCTGAAAAATATGAATGGTCAGTTCCTATCGATCATATAACTATTGACAATATTTCTTTGAAGAATACAAGTAATGAAACAATAAAAATTATACAAATAACCGATATTCACTATGATCCTAAATACGAGCCAAATGGGAACCCGCTTTGTAAAGAACCTACTTGTTGTCGTAAAGGACAGAATATTACAAACTCCAGTAACAAATTAGCTGGTTTTTGGGGAGATTATAATGATTGTGATACTCCATGGCATTCAGTAGTAAATACGTTAGCTCATATCAAAGATACACATCAGGTATGATCAGATAAAGAAATTCCTAATGAAATTGATTTAGTTCTTAAATACAATAAATCACGATTAAAAACTGTGTATTTTCAGAATATTAATTATGTTTACTTTACTGGAGATATAATAGACCATGGTGTTTGGGAAACAACATTAGAAGGAAATATAGAAAGTCTTAGTAAAAGCTACGCTGAGATTTATAAACATTTTAAAGATATACCAGTTTATCCTATACTTGGTAATCATGAATCACATCCTTTGAATCAGTAAGTTATTTATAGTATTTATATTTAAATTTAATACAAAATCATGGAAGAAACATTTAAATGATAAATATTTTTTTTCAGATTTGCACCACAACATATTACCAAAGACAGTTTAAGTACACGTTGGTTGTACCATTTGGTGGCAGATATATGGATTAATTATGGGTGGTTACCAGAATCTACTCGCGCTACTATCTTACAAGGAGGATATTATACATTATCGCCCAGAAAAGGATTTAGAATTATAGTTCTTAACAGTAATGTTTGTTACTGTTATAACTGGTATGTAATAAAAAAAAAAGAAAATTTTTCCTTTATCTTATTAATACCTTTGTTAATATAAAAAATTATTATTTTAGGTGGTTATTATACCAACACCAAGATCCTGACGGACAATTACAATGGTTAGTAGAAACTCTTATAGAAGCTCAACGAAATCAAGAACTTGTACACATTCTAAGTCACATTCCACCTGGTCAAAAAGATTGTCAACATATATGGAGAAGAGAATATATTAAAATTATTAATAAATTTTCTCATATTATTGCTGCGCAATTCAATGGTCATACACATAATGACGAAATACAAATTATTTACAAAGATAAGAATGCAACAAATGCTAGTCACGTTGCATGGAATGGAGGTAGCATTACAACTTATTCGAACTTGAATCCAAACTATAAATTGTATATTATTGACAATAACACGCTAGTAAGTTTTTTTATTCAGAAAGATAAAATAATTATATATATATATATATATATAGTGCATAATTTTAAAATATTAATTTTTAATTATTTCACACTTACAGAGTGTTAAAGATTTTGATAATTGGATGTATGATATAACACAAGCAAATGAAGATCCAACTAAATTCCCCCAATGGTACAAATCCTATTCTTTTAAGAATGAATATAATCTTAAGGATTTATCATTAAATTCTTTAAACAATTGGCTCATAGATATGAGAAATAATCAAGATATATTAGATCGATATTATAAGTAAGTCTAAAAAATAATATCAAACGATGAGATCAATATTTAATAATTTGTTTATATTCAATGAATTTTTTCCTTCTAGGAACTATTTCAAACACGCAACTCCATCTTTGCAGAAGAATTGTGATTTTAAGTGCAAAGAAAAATATATAAATAATATTATTATTACTATACCGCACTAAATATTATAGTTTGAATATTACCAGGATTTTATTAGTAATGCTTGTTCATCTTTACACGAAAAAACGTTTTATTTATTTTAAATAGAAATAAAAATTTCTTTCATTCCACTGTATAAATCATTTAATTTGAAAAGTTTTATTTAAATACTAACAATAAGTAAGTAAAATTATATGCAATATCTACAAATTATTTTTTATTACATATTTATTTATTAACAAGCATCATCTATATTTATTTTTTTAAGTTCTAACCACTTTATCTGTGGATGTCTTAATATTTTTTGTGATGGTATTTTATCTAAGTGATTAATCTGTAAAATAAAATTATAACATTGTATCATTTAATTTATATAGGTTCAGAATACTTTTCAAAGCGATTTATTTCATATTACTATCTAATAATTTTTAAATAAGCAAAAAAAGAATACAAAAAAAAATAAGTAGTATAATTTAAATATAAGATTTACCTGCTTTCTAACATAAATTATTAATTTTTCTATATGCTCTGGATTATTACATTCTAAATTGAAAAACGTTCCCCATAATGCAGATGCTAGTACTTTGTCGTCAGACATGATACCTTCGTCATAAGCAAGTATAGCAGCATTGAACTGGTATGATAAGTCCTGTTTTTGTTTTCTTCTAATAGATGAACTCATCTCCTAAGAAATGAATATGTTCAAATAATGAATTTTAAATGAACATTGCGTAATTACATTTTATAAAAAATTCAAATAATAATTGAACAAAATTGTTGATATAATAATTTAAATTCTTTATTATCCAAGTAGTAATAGAAATTAAATCTTTGCGGAAGGAATTACTTGTTTTGAAATAACATATATAATTGGTAAGGAGAATATATACACACTTACTCCTAACTTTTTCGATCTCATTTCAACGTCATCCCATAATGCTTCTACTAAAGTATTTCTAGCAATTTTACCATACTTTCCTTCCGCCATAAAGCGTACCATCAACATCCATACATGTAATTCTGTTACTAAGAACCATGAATAGAACGTGTCCGGCATGTTAAAATCTGTTTAACAGAAAATAGATTTTTTATAAATAATTGTTAGAAGATACTTTTGGTCAAAGTGTTTAGATAAGATTTGCATGTGACAAGACTTGAAACAATTTGTGTTACACAAACCGCCATTGCATTCTTTGCATTTATATCAATAAATGCATATAAGTATCCATAGAATTTGAAGAGTTAAAGGTAATATAAACATACCTTTGAAAAATGCGGGATAATCTATTTTATCTACAATATATTCGTACTCCGAATAGGCAAACGTTTTTGCTCTCTAGGAATAATAAAATAAATAATTAATATGAATATTATTTAATAATAAATCATCATATATATCTTCATTAATTCATAATTGTTATAAAAATTTATGGAAGATATTTAATTAATAAGAACTTAAATCTATATTAACGCGCTAGTAATGAATTATTACTTACATCCACTTCAATATCAAAGAAGGGAACTTTGTCTTTTATCCAATTAGATATCCTTTTTATTCCTGTAGTTGATATCATTTTTTCAACGATAGAAGTTTGAATAGTAGTCGTTGTATGAATAAATCTAGTTGTTGGCCAATGCAATACATATACAAGTGAACCATGTTTCCAAAGTTTAATATTACCACATTGTATACAATTGTTGTTTCTCAGAAGAGGAACTATAGACTAATCATTTTTGTTTTTTTAAATTAAATTATTTATTTATATCAATATTTGTGCGTATTTACAAAGATATATATATATATAAATATAACTGATATGTGATGTAATTTAAAAATACTTGTATAGTGTGTACTTAAATATTATTTTTTAAGTGAAAATAATAAACTCTAAATCGAGGTTAAATTAATATATAATAATAATATCTCACCTTTATAGATAAAAATGTTCTACTGTATTGCATTTTGTTGAATTTCTTTCTATAAGAAAAAGTTAAAAATATTTTATTATTTTCCTCATTGAAAAGAGAAAAAAAATCCCAAACTCCTAGAATTTGTACTTACGTGCGACTAAAGTGCTGCTCGTTAAAGTTTTGCCAAACGGTGAACAGAAGAACTTCTACCGAAAATGGAGGTCATCCGATGATCGAATCTGCAGATCGTGAGACCACATTTAGATATAATTTCTTAGCTATTTTCGCACGGAGCCGGTTGTTAGTCCTCAAAACAGGTAAACGTATTACTTTTTTCACTAAACAATATAAAAATCATTCAATGGAAATCGATTTTCTAGTTGTAAAATGCAGGAGAGACACTACACATTAGCTATTCCTCTTCATCTTGATATCAATAAGACACTCTCGTATATTTCTTTAGTTTTCCTTCATATTTAATTATTTGTTATTTAAAGTTATATTATATCCAATTTTTTATAATTTTATATGTAACTTTTTTATTAGACTAAATTTACAATATGCATATTTGGTACGTATTGTGTTATTTAATTATCAATGATTAAATATTTATAATATGTAACTGATTTTAATGCATTTATTAAATTACTTATATATATTATGAATTGTAATATATTATTATGAACAAAACACATGAATTATCTTTATCGTTAACTTTTATTTATAATTGGACATATGCAAGTAAGAGTATGGGTAAGAGAAGTTCATATATCAGTTCAAGCTTGTTTTGGAGTATTAAAGATAAATTGCATACTATTTTTTATACCTTATGTTATATAAAATAAATATATTGAGCTCAAATACAAAATATTTATATAAGATTATATTTTATAGTCTGCGCATTTAATTTAAATATTAAATGTTGTTTTTATTTTTTATTTTATTTTTTTAAACTGTTACAGCATATCAATTGAAATAAAAGCAATATATTTCCTTCATATTAGTCCAAGTATAAACCTTTATAGCGTTGAAAAAGTTTCATTTGAGTAATTTAATTTATTTTTCATTTTTAGGAGATGAAGTCGATGAAGGCAAAGTCTAAGAACAAAAAAAATAATGCAAAATTTGGTAAATTAAAACTTGGTACAAAAGAAACTAATAATGTTATTTCTCCGGATTTGTCGACATTAAGAAAACCGATTGACATTAGTGTTTCAAGATTGTCTCAGGTTTGCAAACTTCTTGAAAATGGTAGTGATGAGGTTAAAGCAATATTAGCTTATGAGTGCGACATTATTTATGAGTGTCGTGTTTGTCGTAGTTTATTTCGTAGTCTTGTTAATTTTATTTCACACAAAAGAGTATATTGCAAAGAAAAGTTTAATATTACTTTGAATAAAAACATTTTCACCGATGATGATGAGGTTAGTGCATTAATCAATATATAGATTATATATAAATAATAATATTTAAAATCATAATAGATTTATCTAACAATATTTCCAGGCATATACCAATGGTTCGTTTATACGTTTACATATACCAGAAGAAGAAAATGTAAAGGAAATTGGTAATAACGATAGAATTCTTAGAAGTCAAGTACCCAAGGAAGAAAACAAGAAAGATCTCACCACTATAATAGAAATGCTCCAAAAGAAGCAAAAATTATTTGAAAATTGTTTTTTACAAGAACCGAAACTCAATAAGAATTGTAATAATTCGAATCCAAGAGATTGGAATAATGATGTCGTCCAGGATGGAGTAGATAAATCAGAAGTTTCTATTATATATCAAACTGACATGGATAAAGAACAGGTAAATTGAATCCAACCAGAAATAAATATATCTTTTATTTTTTATTTATTATATTATAAATTACTTTATTTTTGCATAAGCAAGTGTATAACTACATAAATAATATTACGTGTTTAGCTGCATATAGGAATTATGGCAGGGATATATTCTATGCATAAAAAAATACAAATGTTCATGCATAAATATATGTTTAATGAAAATTTGTTTTCGTGTAACATTTATGTTTTTATTATTTTTAAATATATTGTTATCATTAATCCGTTTCTTCTTTAGAAAATTAAATTACAAAGCATGATAAGCCAAAGTACCGGAGTATTAGGACCCAATGGTCAACTATTAGAAAAAAAGGATTTATATGAAGATAATAATTCGATCCCATCCTTGGTAAATGACGAAGACAATGAATTTCTTATTGATTCACTATACAATAGGAATCTAATTTGTTCTATATGTGGGTAAATTTTGTACTTATTTATTATTGTATTGTATGAATAAATAAAATTTATTTGTACTATTATATTTAGGTAATGCAAAGTTTTCTACCAAGAAGACCTTAACGTTTCATATGAAAACGCTACATACATCCCATCGTATGTCCTATCCATGTCCTTGTTGTACAAGTACATTTGTAAATACTTGGAGTGTATATCGTCATCTATTTAAAAGTATTTATAACACTTTACTTTTTCTTGTAAATTAATAATTGATAAATTATAGATATGTTAATATTTTTTACAGTTCACAGAATGTCGAACGAGCAAGTACGGAAACTGAGAATACAAATACAAGAAAAAGCATTTCGTAAAGAAATAACACAAACGGATGATACGGAGCAAGATAATGCACATACTAAGACTTTGGAAGTAATAAATTTACAAGCAACTAATGAAACTCGCGTAAGTAATTTATGAATAAATATTTGTATCTTTAATTTTTGATATTTACTGGAATATTTTATTTTAGGAATGGATGAATCACTTAGAATCCGATTCAGAGCTTCAAAGATGTGGTGGATGTGGTAAAAGATTTGATAGAAAGGCTGCTTTATTTTCGCATTCGCAATATTGTCAGAGGCGAATTGCCGCATGCAACGAAGCTAAAATTAAAGAAAAGAAAGCTGCTAAAAGTTCTACGGAAACAACGACAAATAGCAATACTATACCTAATATGCCAGTTATTACAGAAACGTCTCCTGAAATAAATGAATTGAATGAAACATCTATTCGTGTAGAAAACATAATTACCCTTTCAGATGCAGACTGGGATATGATTGGTAATGAGAACTCTAATGATAGTAGATGTTCTGATGTAGTTAGTGTTTCATCAAGTTCAAGTGCTTCTCCAAGTCAAGAATCATTTAATAATAGCACGAAGAAAGATTCATCTCCGTCCCATAATACTGTGGAGTCTCCTGAAATTGTGTATACATCTGAAATAATTACTGTAAAGAATGGAAGTAAAAAAAGAAAAATAACGACAGATAATCCATTGAAGATACAAAAAGATATTATAGGTGAGTACATTTCTTTTTATTTTTACATTTATGCGTAAACTTTAAGCTTACTGTTGTAAACTTTGTGATTGTGTGTGTCAATTTAAATTAATAATAAAATTCATGATAAAATTATGAATAATTTATTATTACAGAAACGAAATCTGATAATTCAAGCAAAAATATTAGCCCAACTTTGAATTCGTCATCTACTCAATTAAAAAATCAACTTGATCTAACAACAATAATGGAAAATAAAATAGCTACTATAGCAAATCTTCGAAAGTTACAGTGCCTTCCATGTAAAAGGAAATTTACATCCATGACAAACTTACGTAGACATATGGCAATTCATATTGGTTGGAATAGATATCGTTGCAAATTATGTGACTTTAAATGTTTTGCGAAATATGATTGTGTTGCTCATTGTAACAAAATCCATAGCGCTCAAAATAATCGTACACTTTTAACAGATATGGTTATAGAAATATCGCAAGATAAATATATAGGTGATGAAGATATAGTCATTGATGAGACCAATACAGAAGAAAATATAAATGAATCTGCATCCAATAGTTTATCTAATTCTGTAGATCACAGTAAAACAAAAAATGTAACTATGGATAAAAATCCTATAAATGTAGTCAATACAAACATTGACAATACAGAAGCTGGTACCAAAGAAGTGCCTTGCTCAAGTGACAAAGATAATAGTGTTTCTATTACAGTTAACAATGAAAATAACAATACTTCGAACTTTAGTAAAAACAGTGAGAGTTTTCAGACTGGAAATTTGGACACAGATCTTAAAAGAATGGTTATGCGAGTTATTTTTGGCACACCTGATGAATGTTCTTTGAAACAGCTAGAATCGGAAACATCTAGTTTTAAAAGTAATACATGTCCTAAAGAAAAAGTTGATAGCAATGAAAGTAAAACAGAGTGTCGTAATTTGACTATTCAAGATTCTAAAGATTCAAATTCTTCAACTTTACCCGATAATTTAAAACCTCAACGTCCTATTCGTAATCGCGTAAAACCGGTAGATAAAGATTTTATTTATGATTTAAAAGAAGCGGCTTTTCGTAAAGAAGCTGTACTTAATAAGGGAACGTCATGTAAAGCATTAAATAGAAAGTCTTTAGTTCGTTTGCATGTCGAAAACGAAAATTCGGATATTCTAGTAGAGCAACCATCATCGAAAGATTCTGTTGCGTCAGTGACAATACCATTAGAACAAGATAATAATGCAGATAAAATCGACATTAAAAAAAAGTCGATAAATACAAAATCTACTTTGATGAAGCTTTCACGTGTGCCACATTTTACACAACAAGCTGAAATCACATTAATAGAAGAAAAGTAAAAGAGTAGTTAAATTTTTTAAAATTTCGTTTATCATATTATTTGATTTAAAGTTACGTTATAGTTTTATTATATGTTAATATATATTAAATGTATCTATTTACATTAAAATAATAACTTGTAAAATAACGGATGCATATAACATATAATTATATTTACGATACACCAGCACTGCTAAAGGTACTATCATGATTATTAATAAATATTGTGAATTTCTATATACATTATTTAACGACATTGTGGATATTAGTAAGATTGCATAATATTATATTTAGTGAAAGTAATTTTAAATTTTGGTAATGTAACAAAATTCTATATTATAAAATATATTCGTATTTGCAGTAGTATATATAGGCTTTCTTTAAAATGATTGTGTACAAAGATTATGTACAAATGTACAAGAAAATAAAGATTGTGGGTGTAAATTATATATATATATATATAATACTTATAATATATATATACACATATCTCTTATTATATTAATAATTTTTTAATCACAATATTATTTATATTTCAATTTAAAATTGACAACGCACAAAGTTTCTAATAATTCCCGCTTTAAGTTCGCGATGATGCGCACGCATTCGCGGCTGCGTATTACGGCGCTGAGCCAAGCCTTCTGATTGGTGAAAGAAAGGAGTGAAGGGATAGCGACCGCGTCGCGAAGGGAACGTTTACCGGTCGGCGCGGATGAGCACAAATGCGCTACGAACGGCGCCGAAAGCGGATTGGGTTGTCAGACGTATTAAAACGATAATATATTACGCGCGGGGTTATAGTGTAATACAGAACGCGGCACAAATGCCGCTTGCAAATTATATACATACGTGATCAAATAATTAAGTGAATAATTATTGACAGAAAACAAAAGCGACAGTGTATGTATATCGATAGTGTATACGACAAGTGGTATTATCGTGATTGGTGTGTAGTAGGAAACAACGCAGAGGACATCGAGAAAGAGCTGGACCAAACCTTGTAGATTTTTACATCTATCTCTTTCTTTATTTCTCTCTTTCTCTTTCTCTACTTTATTAACGTAAGTATATAAATAATATATTATTTTTCTATTATTAAACATATATGTAAGTTATTATTCTATTATTTTCTCTTATCATTAATTTAGCTTATTGTCTCTAAAAATGAACGTTAATTCGTCGATTTCTCGATCTAATGTTTTTCTCCTACCATACGATGATACAATATCCAAATGTTTAATTATCGATACTAAACTTTCATTAATCGTGGTAGATTTAAGAAAAATCATATAACATAACAATGTATTAGGCATTCTTGTTTATATCCTTTAACGTCGATAATTTGAACGTTTATTATTAAATTTATCATCTCAAAGGTCGTATTATTGTTCGCTGTTGCTTGTAATTAGAAATAACGCGGGTGTTACTAATTACGTTATCATCAATAAAATAAAAGCCATTTAATTACGAAATTATGTTCTTTCTCTTTTTTTCGCTTCCGTGTACGTATATGCGTGTTTGGATAGGAAACAAAATAAGTAGTTACGGTACTGTGATTCGAGATGTTCATACAACGGCGTCATTTTGGGCGATATCGTGTGTACTTTTTTTTGTGTTGACATTTCTTACAAAAAATAAGATTAAACGTAAATACATATATCGATATATTCGAATGAGTGAGAACGATGTGCTTTTTCGTCACGTTCACGTATATGATTATTGATACCGTCAAAAAGGCGGGAGAATGCTTACAAATGTTCAGCATGCTTAAATTCTTTTGCTATTTCTATTTTTTACGTATTTAAATTTTTTCTCTAAAATTTACTATTCTTCTCTTTTTAAGAAAGATTTGTTATCAGAGTATAAATTCTACGTAAGCAAGCATTCTACGCCCTTGACGAATGGAATGTCGTAGGTTTACGTATACGCAATTTATCTTTTTACACGTTCGAAAGATGGCTTTCATCCAACGACGTAGGAAATTTATGAAAATTGATCGTAATCCGATAAAAAATATTAAAAACACATATCTCATAGAATACCATTCATTTTGTTTTTCCAATGTTAGACTAGGTTTCATCTTATTATTCTAAATTGGCGCAAAATGTAAAATTTTTAAATTAGTTTAATTATTTTTAGTAGAACAAATTTCAAATTAGACATTATATTTAAATATGTTTCATGTATATTATTTGTAAAAATGTTTATATATATGCAATGGAATCTAAAGTTTTATTTACTATATTTTTAATATTTTTTATTTGTGATTATTAAAGATAGGCCATGGGTTAGAATATATATTCGTATTAACTTTGATATCGTCCTTATTATTACGATCTAAGATGTAACCTGTTTCTCATACGTTAGATTTGAAATCAACACGCGACACGGAAGGAGTTCTTTAAAGCCTGACGAATGAAGGAAGGTCGAGACATGATTGCGGTATCACACTGTGGTTAACTTGTTGCATTAGTATGTTTTTAAGAGACTTGAATGTACTTGTTGCACATTCATAGATTCGTAAACCTCGTCTTTACATTTTTCTATTTGCTATTCTACGATGATCTTTGAAATGTTTACTTAATTTTATAGCCAAATACTTCAGAATAATAATACTTGACATAGTTTTTTATATTCACAAAATAAATTTATTTTCAATTTAAAAGTAAACACGGTGGAAAAATAAATGAATTCACTGATAAATTATTTTAATTACTGAATTTGTGTTCACATATAAAAAAGTGAGTCGGAAAGTTTCGAGTCTCACATCAGTAAAAATCTTTTATATTTTTTAAAAATAACAGCGGGAGTGATTAACGAAAATTGTTTTTATATCAGTAGAAAGGTTTTAAACTTTTCATCCCACCCACGTATAAATTGAATAATTTTAATTATTAAATTTCTGTACGCATTGTACAGTAACTTGTCTAGAAAGTATTCCTGCTGTATACTAATATTGAATTAGAAAAGTATATACGTAATCACGTGCCAGTGACCGTTTGAAAATGAACGGTTCGTATTTTCTGACTAACCACGTCAAGCAGTAAATGTAAGCTAGCAGCTAACTTACATGGTTTACAATATTGCCTGTTAACGTGACCGTAATAAGTAGGCTCATTTACTCATTACGCGATTTGTCTCTTTATGTAGGTTATATTAATGTTATTACTTCTTATGGATAAATTTATGCGGATTAAACGAAATTACTATCAGAATGAAATAATTAAATTTTTCATCATTATTGTTATTATCGTTATTATATTTTTTTTCGTTTTTTCGTGACACATTTGTACATTAAAACTAGAAAAATAGCACATGCAATATTAATAATATTTACTTTTCTTTACGAGATATATTCACCGTTAATTTATAGCACGTGTCTTACAAAACGGCAAACCTTACATTATCGTATCATACCGAGCATATTTTTCTTACTATTAACAAACAAGTTCTTTTTTTTTCAGTAAAGAAATTATATATTGCAAGAGATTTTCTTTACTGAAACGTTAAATTATTGGAAATCTAGGATAGAGAAAATTTGTAGAACGACATTTCGTTCTAAGATTTAATGACAAATCTCGTCAGTTTCAATGAAATTATATTACACGGTATAGGATTTATTCGTGGTCTCTGAAAATTGCATAGTTTAAATGATAACGGTGATAGAAAGTGTTGTTAGAATTTTTCACATCTTTGATACTGTATCTCATAAATAATTATTATTAATATACTTTATAATGCACTCTCACACAGGTAGACTTATACCTTGATCTTCCCTTTTACCTCTCCTTCTCCTCGCACCCCTCAGAAGAAGATATAAATATTTATAGAAGTAGCAACATCGATAGAATATGGTGTACATTAATTTCGAAGTACTGGACTCAACTAGATAAGGTCTAGGTTCATTTGATCGTAACTTGAAGTTAGTAGTCAAACAGCTTTACATGTTGAAGGCTTATGCATCCAAGTATGCATGTATACATGCAGCAGCATTCTCTTTGGATCGATCTAATCCACTGTAAATATCGCATTATACTGCTTTTCAGTGTTGTATTACAATCATGCTAGTGAAATTATTCTCTAATAATATATCTAATTTTTTTATAAGTATGAAGGTATACATAATGTATTATATCTGGCCTTAATCGTATCGTGTTTTCATGATTTTATCTCATCGTGATAGAACCCGCGCGCGACATTTATTTGAAATTATTTTTTTTTTATTTTCATAGAAAACACCATATTGAAAAGTAAGAAAAAGTATTCAATATATTTGATATCTGTCGCTCCATGTCAATGGAAAATCTCTTCTTATTGGTTTTTTCCTATTCTCAAAGTATTCTTGTATCTAATGCTCTATATATAAAAGATACCCTTTAAGGAGTCACACAGGGGTGGTGCGAAACGTTGTCCAGACTGTCTTCCAGTGTCCAGTTCACCCCTAATAGAACTGACACAAGCCAACCCCTGTAGTCTGAATGCTCACGGACGTACATAGAAAGACACGTAATGCATACGGGGGCAATGGCATCGTAGCAGAGCACATAGCGTACATATTGTCGTTATGGTAACGCCTATTCATCACATGAGGTACTTTTTTTCCTTCCAAAAAGATGACTTATCGCATATAATAATTCTTTACAATTGTATGAAGGTGAGTCGATAATTATCCCTAATGTAACAATATTTTATTGTTTTTATATTAACTTTGTACGGGTTTCGAACAAGCTTGGTTGGTTACATCATCTTTGTCATGATATTATTGAGATAGATCAGTATTCGAACAGTGACTGAACAATTACAGGAATACTAATGCATGAGAGTACTCGATAATACAATCAAAAATATTATTACATCGTTAATAATCAATGACACAATCCTCCGTATTTTCTAAAAATTTGTTGGCTCTGCAAACATATGCATTCTATCAAAATTTGCAGTTTACGTAAAAATTTGTTATATATCATATTCTTCAGGATTGGTCATATGAGTCAAGTTTGGTTGATGATTTTCTAATATTATATATATATTTTTTTCCATCTATACTGGTAGACGTGATTTTGGGTTGATTGCATACGACGCGTGACGTTGTCAAGTAAAGCGCATAGGGCTGGTATGCCATCTTTTTTTTTTAATTTTTTTTTATTTTTTAAATCTGGGGATGACTATAGGAACTTCTCTCACGATCTCGAAAATATAATAGTAATCCAGCGTCGTCCATTTATCGAGAGGAGATCGACATTTCCTTCTGTTGTGTGAATGAACTCTAAGCTCCCCTGTTAAACTCTGGCTTGGTAGTCGCACGTGCGCGGATGCACGCGCAATGGCTGAAGCAGTAAGCTATTATATACGCTCATGGAAACGTTTCTCGTCCTTCTGCTCTTGAAGATTTAACCGAGCCGAGGACAAAAGCAAAATACGCGTCTTCTTGGTGTGTGCGTGTGTTCAGCTCAAACGCGTTAGTAAAGAATCTCTTATACTTTTCTTTTACTTTTTTCTTTTACTTTTTTCTTTTACTTTTTTCTTTTACTTTTCTTTTTCTTTTTATTTATTTTTTTTTATTACACCCTTTCACAATCTGCCATTTGAAATTTGAAGAAATAAGACGGTGAAAGTTACGAGAAATTTGATCAGTATTTTTTTTTTTAAATATATTTAGTTAGTATTTTAAAGAAATAATAAAACATTGATATTTAATCCTAATACGACCCTGTTGCAAAAAAAAATGAATAAAATATTTGTGGACATTAATCATTTATTTAAATATAATTGGGACGTGTTAGATGCTATCCATTTGACAATTAAACAATCGAAATTCACCATCGAAATATTAACGAGCAATCATGGTCAGACATTATCGATCTGGTATACTAATCGAAACGAAGAACATTGTTCATCGCTATTAGAAAGTCGTCTGATTCCACAAGTTAAGCTTGCGGTTGTATATATTGTAAGAAGCTAGACAGAGAGAAAGGGGAAAGAGAAAGATAAATAGAAAGAGAGAGAGAGAGGGAGATAAAGAAATATAGAGATAGAAGGAGTACTCTATCCTTTTTCTTTT